AAAATCCCTGTGGAACTCCACCGGTATGTTCTTGATTTGTTAAACTGGATGTACGCTACAGGGACGTTTCCGGTTCAATGGAAACAGTACTTCGTGGTGTTCGTCCCAAAGCCAGGTCGTAGTGGCTCCTATAGACCCATATCGTTAGCTAACAACTTCCAGAAGATACTGGAAAAGATAATGTGTAAAAGACTGGAGTGGTGGGTAGAAAATAGTAATATTATGTCCCCACACCAGTTCGGGTTTAGACGAGGTCTGTCGTGTACATGACAACCTCTCTACTCTGATATCACATGTAAAGGTAGCCAACAACTCTCGTAAGGTTACAGGTGCTGTCTTCTTAGATGTTGAGGGAGCGTTCGATAACGTCAACCCCCGGAAACTTCTCTCTATGCTCCGTGACCTACAAGTTACCCCCCGAATGGTTGCTTTTGTTAAGTCGGTGGTCGAGGCACGTGAACTTGACGCGTACGTGTCCGGTGTGTTTATGGAACGTCGGCTGACCTTCCGGGGCCTCCCACAAGGCTCTGTGCTAAGCCCACTCCTGTTCAACATATATATGTCGGGCGTGGAAACCTGCCTTCCACCTGGGGTCACTGCACTCATCTATGCAGACGATGTTGTTGTGTATAGTTCAGACCAGTCAATAGTTGAAACCGCTCAGAATCTAAACCAGGCTCTGGACAGGGTCTTCGGACACCTTGCCTCCCTCGACTTGAAGATCTCTCCTAGCAAGTCCGTCGCCACGTTCTACTCTCTCAACTCCTTACGCAACACCAAGTGGCTGGTTAGAAAACATAATATACAGCTGCTAATAAACCAGAGTCCAGTTAAGTTAGAGTGGTCAGTTAAGTTTTTGGGCGTGCACATTGATTACGCTTTAAAGTGGAAAAAACACATCATGGAGACCCGTCGCAAGGTCTTTCCCCGGATTAATATCCTGAAGGCTATTACGGGAATAAAGTGGGGGTCCCATCCTTCGGTTCTAATAACGGCTTACAAGGGGTTAGTCAGGTCGGTCCTGGAGTGGGGGTGTCAGGTTATGTACCCTCTGGGCGATCGCGAAATGCTAGTGTTAAGTAGACTTCAGTATGCATGCATAAGGATTGCGTGTGGTTTAATGCGTTCCACCCCCACTAATGTCCTCCTTGACATTGCTTGTGAGCAACCCCTGCGGTTCAGACATAAGTTTCTAGTTAGTAAGTATGTTTCTAGAGTCAGTGCCAGGAGGAACCATTCTGTTGGCCGCGTGTTGGAGGAAGTGTCTAGAGATTGGACACCTATTTGTGAGGACAACCAGTTCGGTCTCTTCGAGGTTCGTAAGGAACTTGCACACCTAGTAGATGGTGTCAAGAAGTTTTCCCTGCCTGGTAACCTGTCTGCTCCTTTTGATATCCAATATCATACGTGTAGTGTAGATACGGAGGTGGGGTTCCAGCTCCGTAGCACTGATGATCCACAGAGTGTGTTTAGTGAGTTCCTGTCAGAGAAGGGGATTACCCGTGTGTTTTTTACAGATGGGTCGGTGTCTCGGAATTCCAATGTGGACTCGACGTCCTCTGCGGGCTTCGCAGTGGTGTCAAACAATCCTGACCTTACCCACCACGAGCGTATCGGCAGCCGGTCGGGGGTCTGCGAGGCCGAAGCCAGGGGAGTCTTGTGCGCCCTGGAGTATGTGGATGAATTTGGGTTCAGTTTAGCAGCAGTTGCGTCGGACTCTTTTAGTGTTATGCGCTGTCTGGGGTCCCCTGATCCCAAGGGTTTACACTCTGATACTCTGTACCTAATAAAAAAGTTAGATCTAAAGCTGAGACGGAGTAATGTACACGTATTGTTTGTGTGGATTCCTGGTCATCGCGGTATAGGTGGCAATGACCGTGCAGATAAGTATGCCAAGCTCTCTCTGTCGTTACCAGAACCTGTTGAAAAGCAGGAGGTGTCCTCCTTATATCCTATACTCAAATCTAAAGCGTTGCAGTCGTCTAAGGAACAGTTGTTAGTTGAAGCCCAGCACAAAGGTAGCAGGTACTTCAGGTTTGTTCAGGAACCGTTGGGTAGACCATGGTTTATGAGGTTTAAAAAGAACAAGTATCTCCCCCGCCAGCTAGTCTCGCTAATATCTAGAATTCGCTCTCACCATACGGCGGTTAATGAACATCTTCACGATAAGTGTATTGTTGATAGCGCTGCTTGCCCGTGTGGTCATCCGATACAGGACATTAACCATCTGTTTCTTTACTGCCCTGTGAATAAAACTGCCACGGACAAACTGCTCCTGGACCTCTTCCATAGTGGCTTTAGCTCACCGTATAGTGTAGTGGACATTGCCTTTTCAAATAATATACAAGCCATGTTTGCTTTGCTCACGTTCACCAATTCTACCAACATCAGTGTTTGATTCCCTAACTCACGCAAAGTTTCCTCTCTTTCCCCCGTCTTTTTCCTCCAACTTCTGCTCCACTCTCCCTCCCTTTCCCTCCTGCATACTCTTCCCCCTGTCCCTCTCCCTCCACCTTCTGCTCCAATCTGAAACCCAGTACATACAGTGCAGCACAGCTCAGTACAGCTCTGTCAAGTTAAGTTCCACCAATCGAAGACTGGCGTATGCTCCTACCTCACCGGGGCAAGAGCCATTACGGCAAAGAAGAAGAAGAAGCCTAAGGCTGTGTTCAGTTAAGCAAGATGGAACGAACTAATGGAGGAAATGCAGGAAATACAGGAATTGGAACTAATGAATTCCTGTATTTCCTGCATTTCCTGTATTAGTTCGTTCCATCTTGCTTAACTGAACACAGGGCTGTGCTCAGTTAAGCAA